GTTTCAATCATAAAAGGGATGATTAATTTCTTCTTCAGATTGATTACAGATAGGAAGAGTGATGATTTTTGTTTGTTGATTTTTTTTATCCTGCTACTTTACTATACTGGTTGATTATTTTGATTAGTTTTTCTGTGGGGGTTTGAGGGTTCTCTCTGTTGTCATATCGTCTGCAAATAGTGATAGTTTTACTTCATCTTTCCCTTTTTGGATTCCTTGTATGCCTTTCTTTTGTCTTACTGCCCTGGCTAGGACTTACAGTATTATATTGAAAAGTAGTGATGAGAGTAGACATTCTTACCTTGTTCCAGATCTTAAGGGGAAGGCTTTCTGCTTTTCACCATTGAGAATCATATTGGCTCTGGGTTTGTCATTGGCCTTTATTATGTTCCTTCTATCCTGAGAAATTTGAGGCCTTCATCGTAAACAGATGTTGAACTTTGTTGAATGCTTTCTCACTATCTATTGATGTGATCATATGGTTTTTATTTATTTTTTGTTTGATGTGTTGGATTACATTATTAATTGATTTTTCAGATATGCCCGTGGAATAATTCCCAACTGGTCATGGTGAATTATCTTTTTGACGCATTGTTGGATTCTGTTGACTAGGATTTTATTGACCTGCCTGCTAGGTCCCTCTAGGTGTGACTCAGAAGAATATGGGGATTGAAAGAGAATAAGGAGTGACAGAAGGAGTCAGAGGAAAGAGGAGGATGATACGGAAATGTAGAAGGAATGAACGTGAGAGAAGGAAGAATGGGCTAGATGGGGGAAGAAAAGATAGGAGGAGGAAGAGGAGGAATGTAAGAAAGAGAAGAGAAAGTGGAGATGGTAATGTTAAAAGGGAGAAAGAAGAAAAATAGAAGAATCAGTAAACAGAAATAGGGAAGATGGAAAGGAACAGCAGACAACCAGCTGACCAACACACACACACACACACACAAACAGATGGATGGAGCATTGCTTCTCAGGACTCTGATGGCTCCTAGTGAGCTAGTCATTTTAGTCTGGTCTGTTGGGCTGAGTAGGACAATCTTCCCAGTGCCAGCTATTTCCCTTATCACCCTTGTAGTGTGTTGAGGGAGGATACAGAAAAAGCAGGAAAGGGCACAGATTCAACTGCAGTTGTGGGTTTGGGGGGATCAGCACTCTTTCTGGGCCTGTGAGGTAGTCGGGTAGGTGTTGGGGCTTCTGAGGTCTCCTTCCACCTGAGGGCTTGGGTACCAGCAGGCTCCAATGTAGGGACCAGCCCTATGAAGTTCCCCAATGTCTTTCCTGCTGGTAAGTGCGACCAATTAAATGGTCCCACTTGTTTCCAGGAGTGGAGGGAAGGGAAGGGAATGCCACAAAAAAGGGGCTCAAACCCAGCATTGTGTGTGTGCTCCTAGGCCCATTTGCCCACCTGTCACTGCCTGGTGCTTTCAGATCTCTCAGGATTCTCTGGGTATCTGGCCTCCAAACTTTGTCTCATTTTCTGCTTGATGAAGTGGGCTGGCTTTATGGGTGTGGGAGGGGAGAAGGGTTCTGATGATTTTCTCTCTTCCCTCCCTGTCATTCCAATTTTTCTCTGTCTGGGTGAATTACCACCATTGCCCAGTTTGTGTAATGTGTCTGGGTCCTCCCAGGAATTTACTGTTATTTCTCCCTATCTGTTGTTTTTATGAGAGAACTTGATCCTAGCTGCCATGTGGATGACATCCAGTTAGACTTCTTAAGTGACTCTTCGATCCATAGTAGAGCATCTTATACTCAGCATTTTAATTAAAACCATGGTGTTTTGTCAAATCCTTTGTGTTGATTTTAGTTTTCAACCTCCCCTCCTAGAGTGTGACAGTTAGTACCCATTAACTGGAATACATCTAACACATCAGAGAATAATTTAACTGAATTCTGTAAGTCTGACCAAAAAATTAATTCAAATAGCATAGGAATTTCTTATGGTCATGATGGTGTTTTTCCCTTAACATAGCCTGAAACTTTCAGTACCTCTCAGCTAGTTTTTTTTAATCTACTTTCAAGGATCCCAGGTATAAGTTCATTTAAGACTATTTTGGTGATCACACATTAGTGTGCATTAAAATCACCTGGAGGGATTGTTCAACTATAGATTGCTGACCCTGCTGCAGTGATTTGCATTTCTTTTTTTTTTTTTAAAGATTTATTTATTTATACAAGCACTGGGTACAGTCAGAAGCGTGGGAGGGTGAGAGAATTCACCAGAGCCAGAGCAGGGAACAGAACAGGCAGACTGACAAAACACACTGCTGAGGGGAGCAGCAGGCGGCAGGAGAGGTCTGCGCGCCATGTGGGACCCTCCTCTGGTGGCAGGGGAGCAGCCAGGGATCGAACCGGCACTGCAGAGGCTGCGGGCAGCTTCGCAACCCAGCGCTCAACCGTTGTGCCACTGGGAGGCCCCAGTGATTTGCATTTCTTTTTTTTTTTTTTTTTTTTGATCATTTTATTTATTTTTTTTAAAGATTATTTATTTATACATACATACATACATACATACATACAAGCACTGGGTACAGTCAGAAGGACGGGAGGGTGAGAGAACTCACCAGAGCCAGAGCGGGGAGCAGAGCAGGCAGAAGGACCGAAGTACACTGCTGAGGGGAGCAGCGGGTGCAGCAGGCGAGGTCTGCGCACCATGTGGGACCCTTGCTGCTGGCAGCCTGGGATTGAACCGGCGCTGCAGAGACTGCGGGCAGCTTGGCAGCCCAGCGCTCAACCACTGCGCCACCAGGGAGGCCCTGATTTGCATTTCTAATGAGTTCTCAGGTGACCTGGGCTAAGGGACCACATGGAAGAGTTGTGTGTATGTGTATATGTGCCACATCTTCTTGATCCACTCATCTGTTTGGGGGCAGTTAGGATGTTTTTATATCTTGGCTATTGGAATTGTGCTGCTAGTGTTCTTTGGGTAGATACCTAGGAGTTTGAAGTCTGGAAGTATGAAACTCTCTTTCTTCCTCTTTTTTGTCTAGATTGCTTTAGCTAGTTGGGCGTCTTGTGATTCTATATGAATTTCAGCAATGTTTGTTCCATTTTTTGAAGAATGCCAATGAAATTTTGATAGGGATTGCATTGAATCTGTGTAGGATGGCCATTTTGACAGTGTTGATACTTCCAACCCATGAATAGGGAATATCTTTGTTTTTTTTGTGTCTTCTATTTTAATAATGTCTTACAGTTTACTTTAGTATAGATCTCATTTACCTGCTTTGTTAGGTTTACTCTTAGGTATATGTGTATGTGTGTGTGTGTGAGTGAAGTTGTAAATGAGATAATTTTCTCAATTTCTTCCTCTTTTAGCTCATTGTCTTTAGGAATGCAACCAATTTTTGTATTAATTTTGTAATCTGCCAGTTTGCTGAACTGGTTTTACTGGTTTATTTAGTTTTTCAGGAGTCTTTAGTGTTCTTTGTGTTTATTATCTGCAAATAAAGATAGCTTTACTTCTTTTCTGACTTGGATTCCTTTTATGTTCTTGCCTAATTACTTGAGGTAGGACTTCTAATTCTATGTTGAATAGTAGTGGTAAGAGTGGATAGTGGTAAGAGTGTCTTGTACGTTTTTTTTTTTTTTTTTTAAAGTTTTTTTTTTATTTATTTGTTTGTTTGTTTATACATGCACTGGGTACAGTCAGAAGCGCGGGAGGGTGAGAGAATTCACCAGAGCCAGAGCGGGGAGCAGAGCAGGCAGAAGGACCGAAGTACACTGCTGAGGGGAGCAGCGGGCGGCAGGAGAGGTCTGCGCGCCATGTGGGACCCTCCTCCGGTGGCTGGGGAGCAGCCGGGGATCGAACCGGCGCTGCAGAGGCCGCGGGCAGCTTCGCAACCCAGCGCTCAACCGCTGCGCCACCGGGGAGGCCCTCTTGTACGTTTTTTTGCTGCAAAACTTCCAATTTTTCACCACTGAAAATGATGTTAGTGTGTGTCTGTCAAATATGGCCTTTATTATATCTCATATATCCTCAGTTTGAGGATTTTCATAAAAAATAGATGTTGAGGGGCCTCCCTGGTAGCACAGGGGTTAAAGACACAGTTCTGGCAAGCTGTCGTCAGTGCTGTGGCATGAGTTGGATCCTGGGCCAGGGGGTTGACCCATATGGTGCAGCAGACCTCTCCTGTCTTGCCCTCTGCTCCCCCTCAGCAGTGTATTTCAGTAGATCTGCCTGTTCTGCTCCCCACTCAATCCTCTCACTTCTGCACCTCTGGCCTATACCCCATTCTTGTATGCATAAATAAATAAATCTTTAAATAGATGTTTAATCTTATCAGATGCTTTTTTGGCATCTATTGATATGATCATATGGTTTTTATCTTTCTTTTTGTTGATATGGTGAATTATGTTGATTTTTGGATGTAGAACCATCCTTGTGTCCCTGGTATAAATCCTATTTGGTCATGGTTTATAATTCTTTAAATGCTTTGTTGGATTTGGTTTGCTAAGATTTTACTGAGAATTTTCATGTCTGTCTTCATTAGGGCAATTGTATTTTACCTAAATTTTATGGTTTAGTTTGAATATCACACACACACCAAGTAATCAGCTTAGTATGACCTAATTTCTATATTTGGTTTCTTTGTTCCTTTAAAACAAATTTTAAGTCTGATTATGCCCCTTCCCAAGAACATAGCTTTCTTTTCTAGCCTGATAAAGAACACTCAACAGGTTTTAACTTTGTGAAAAAATAAGGATAAAAGCTGAAAGCGCTATTTCAGGATATATTTAAATAACAAATCTAAGTATTTTGTGATGAAATCATAAATTCATTAAAATGATTTTCATGGGCCATAAGTGCTAGTATGGCCATTCATCCAATCCACCTGTAGCAGAACACTGGAGAAATTTACAAAGGTGTTATTCAGGGAAATGGACCAACGGGTATTTCTAGGTAAGAAATTATTGTCAGAGTCAAAAGACTACTTACAAGTAGTTTTCCTTTAGTACATTTCGTATTTTTTTAAAGAAATTCTATTTTAAATTTACAGAGATGGCAACAAAATCATAGAGTTTAATAATGGCCAAAGAGAACTACATACTGCCCAGTTCAAGAGACGGGAATATCCAGATGGTACTGTTAAAACTGTATATACAAATGGTCATCAAGAAACAAAATATACATCTGGTCGAGTAAGAGTTAAAGACAAGGATGGTAATATTTTAATGGATACAAAATTATAATGATCCTTGTGTGAGTAATCATGAAATAACACTAACTTGATTTTCTTATTGAAAAATATACATTCCTGTGGGTTTTGTTAATTTATAGATACTGTGTGTGTGTATGTACATGTGGAAAAGATTATGTTTGAACTCTAAAATAAAACTTTACAGCTTATTTTTAATTCACCTTTTTGTCTTTGTATGGTTAAGTGCATGATTAAGGCAGGTATTATTACTTAGTTATAAACTATGTAGATTTAAAAAGGATTGTAGATAGTTATAAAAAACAAAAAATACAATAACTGCAGTATCACATGGATTTTCCAACAGTACATCAGTCATAGAACAAAGAAAGTTTACTCAGGGAATAGGAAAATTTCTGCAGTCAAAATACCACTATATTCCGTGTTCAGCCACTGGTGCCTCGGGAGCAGACACAACCCCAGTCTGAGCCTTACAGCACCTAGCTTTTCACCTTTGACCCCCATCTGCACCCAGGAAGTGCATCCCATTCAGCTCTCAGCCACCAGCATACACAAGTCCTATTCCGGGGCTTGCAGGGCATAGCTTTTTACCATGGGCTCCCAGCCACACCTAGGAAGTGTATCCCATTGTCATTCAGCCTACAGTGTCTACTAGCAGACCTGGGCTTCATACCTTCACTAAGCACCCTGGATTCCAACTCAGCCACCACCTGCTTGGGAGGAGATGTAAACCCCTAGTCTGGACCTTATAGGACCTAGCTTTATACCAGTGGGGACTCCCAGCTCCACCTGGAAACTGCATCCCATTCAGTGCTCAGCATTCAGTGCTGCAGCACTGTGTGAGCAGACTCAAGCCCCAGTAGGCTGCATAGAGCCTCTTATATCAGGGCTCTTAAGCAGCCCTCTGCCCTCCTGGCCACCAGAACCAAGCCTGAGCCATTGCTTCTGAACAAGGTGAGGTCCCAACAACTCAGTCTCTTAACTCAGCACTTTCCTGGCCCCCCAGCCACCAGAACAAGGCCCAGAAGTGCTCTGAGGGAGGCTCTAGCATCAACTCACATCCTACAAGACCCTACTAGTTGTGCCCACAATTCAGTGAACTCCCAGAACAGTGGGAGAAAAGGACTCACACACAACACAAGCCCCAGCTACAGCAGAGCAAAGCCAATGCAAACAATGGGAAAAAAAAAAATACCAATGGTCAAGCAAGCACACCAGGAAACAGTACACCATTAGAGAAAACAAAACCCCAGAACCAAACCACAAACTACATGGAAGAGCTTCTCTACTTATCAGATATATATTTCAAGATGGCCATGATTAAGAATGCTAAAGGGAACACCACAAAGTACACTTAGAAAAGGAAATGAATGCTCTTGAGAAACACAATTAATAGAAGGTTGAAATTGAAATTTTAAGCAATAAAATAACAGATTTACAGAAGGAAGCAAAATATTCAGGAGTAAGCCATGGTAGTGGAATGAATCAAATGGAAGAACTAATCAGTGATCTCAAAGATGAAAGGTTAAAAAGATAGAAAAGAAAAACAAAGGAAAAAAGAATGAAGAAATGTTTCAAGAATTTTCTGACACCATTTGGAAAGGAAATAAAAGAATCATAGGAATCCCAAAAGGAGACAAGAAAATAGAGAATGGAACTGAGAATCTATTTAGGTAAACAGTGGAGGAGAACTTTCCAAACTTGAAGAAGGAAATAAGCCTAAAATTACAAGAAGCAAACAGAACTAGCTACCAAGATGAAAGGAAAACTACAGCAAGACATATAATAGTGAAATTCCCAAGAGTCCAAGACAAAGAAAAAACAATGAAGCTGACGAGGGGGAAGAAACATGACCTGTAAAGGAACATCAATTAGACTGATTGATATTGGATCTCTAGAGAAACACTAAGGGCAAGAAGAGAATGGAATAACATATTCAGAATACCCCCAGAAAAAATATTGCCAACCAAGAATATTCTGCAAGGCTCTCCTTCCTGAATGATAGAAAAATAAGGACCTTCTCAGACAAAGAAAATCTTAGGGATTATTCACCCACTACACTCTCCCTCCAAGAAATATTCAAAGCAGCATTAGGAACTAGAGAGAAGAATGAACACAAAGAGCTAGCTGAATAAGGGGATTAAACTACAGCTCTAGGAACAAAAAGGCCGTGATGGACATATATATGTCAATAATCACTCTTAACTGAACCCCCTAATAAAAAGACCCCCAACATGTCAAATATACATTTCTCAAGTGCACATGGTCATTCTTCAGGAATGACCACATACTGGGTGGTCAGTAAATTCATGAAGATAGAAATCATACCAAGTTATCTTCTCTGATCAGAAAAGTACTGAACTGCAAATCAGTCACAAAATAAAACAAGGAAATACTTTAGTACATGAAAACTTAATAATATACTATTGAACAACAGGCATAATGGAAAAAGAAATAAAAAAATGACCTTGAGGTAAGTGATAATGAGTATATAATTTTTCAGGATGTATGGGACACAGCAATAACAGTTCTATGAGGGAAGTATATACCATTAGAGGCCCAAATTAAGAAACTAGAAAGAATTTAAACACAACTTGTTTTTTATCAAAGAAACTAGAAAAAGAGAACAACTAAAAAATCCAAAAGCCAGTAGGAGGAGGGAAATAATAAAAGTTAGAGCAGAAATAAATGAAAATCAGAAAGATAGTCCAAAAGATCAGTGAACCCAACAGCTGATTCTTTGAAAAATTAAAATTGACAAACTCTGAGGTAGGAGCGCTACAAAAAAAAAAAAAAAAAAAAGAGGAAGGGCCTCCCTGGTGGTGCAAGGGGTTAAGATGCAACCTATGAAGCTATCTGTAGCCACTACAGCATAAGTTTGATTCCTGGCCGGGGAGCTACCCACATGGCGCAGCAGACCTCTCCTGACTCACCTGCTGCTCCCCTCAGCAGTATATTTCAGTCTGCCTGTTCTGTTCCCCACTCTGTCTCTGGTGAATCCTCTCACCCCCTGCACTTCTGGCCTGTACCCCAGTTCTTGTATGTATAATTTTTTTAAAAAAAATGGAGAAAACGCAAATAGAATAAAAAATGAAAGAAGTTACAGGAGACACTGCAGAAATTGAGAGGATAATAAAATATCAGTATAAAACATTTAAATCCAAACAAATTCAATAACCTAGATGAAATGGACAGATTTTTAGAATTATCTAATCATCCAAGACTGAATAAGAAATAGAAACTGAATGGAAAATTAATCAATACAATTAGACTGAATAGTAAAATGGTATGAATTCATTCTTACAGATAATTTCATGAAAGCATTTATATTGAGAATAGATGAAGCATGAAAAATAAATGTAATACTGGAGGCTGCTAGAGGAAGATATCCTTTAATGAAGGCAAGTCACCAACGTGTATTTACATAGTTATTGCAGGTTGTTTTAGCACCACTTAGTATGGTATGTCAAGTGTTGGCAATGACTCAGGAAAAAACGAAGCTACCTGTATCAATTGTGTGTGATTTGAAAACTAAATATGAAGAAAGTTTAATATTGTTCAAGGACAACAAGAAGTTACCTCAGAATAGAGAAGGATTTTTAAGAGACAGCACAAACCTTGAAATAATGAGTGAAAAGTTTGGGAGAAGATATATTCCTGACACAGGATTAACATCCAGAACATACAAATAATTCTTAGAAAGCAGTAAGTTAATTACAAGTAACTCAACAGCAAAATTGATAACGCATGTGAACAAGCAATAACCCAGTGAATGCATACTAAGATAGGCATCCTTGCATATATATTCTTGCAAATAATGTTCTTTTCACACCATATATTGGCAACAAATTCAGATTACTGATTGTGGAGTAAATTGTTAACACAACTTTATTGAAGAAAATACACTCCACACAATAAATTCCACTAGTAAGTATGTATTAGGAAACCTTCGCCTACACAAAGGCTTACTACCGAGGGATATTTGTAATTGAGAAAAGCTGGTGTAGGAAAATAAAGTGTTAATGTCGTTTTGCCGGGGACATTGGAAGATGTGCGACCACCTTTTGGCCCTCGGGTCCGGGAGCCTGGCCAGCGCCCGGACCGGGAGCCAAAAGATAGGGCTGGTTATGTAACTGTTTGCGATGTCTGGGACCACCAAGAAATGGGTTGGTTATGCAATTCCGGGGCATCGGGCGCAGGAACATGACCAGCCCACCATGAATCCCTGGGTTTGGATACTGGCCATATCCGACCTTGGGAGATAAAAACACAGTGGTCGCATAGCTGCTGCGGCTCGCAGCTGCTGGGCTTGGATACGTCTCCCGTGCATTTCCCCGGAGTGCTGCCTCTTTGCCTCCGTGATGCTGTTTCCGGAGTGCTGCCTCTTTGCCTCCGTGATGCTGTTTCCGAAGTGCTGACTCTTTGCCTCCGTGATGCTAATTTCTGAGGAAACTGTACAGTATGTATGCATGATTATCAGTTTGGTCGGGTTTGGGGCACTGTTTATAATTTTGCTTGTGCATCGCCTATGTTGCTCACAATAAATCCCTTTTCCTTTTTAATACGGTGTGGTCATTGAATCCCACGGAATCGAGCCTCCCTCAAACACCTGTGCACGGGGCTAGCAATTACATTTTATTGCTAGTTACAGCTGGTAACAACCTAAATATCTACAAAAGAATAAATTCTGTAGACAGATGGATGTAACAATGAAAGTGAATAAAAGTTTATTAACATGGATAAATAGCACAAATAAGATAGTGAGAAAATTAAAGTTCAGATTAAATATATGTACAGTGCAACTCAATACTGTATTTTTTTTTAAATAATACATTTTATTTTTATATTCCCCATACATTTGCAACCCCCCCATTCTGACCCCAATCCCTCCCCTCCCGCCCCCCACCCCCAAAAAGTGTCTCTGGTTCATAGTTTTTTGTTGATTTTGATTTTCACTTTCTTATAGTTATTCATTTTCCTGGTCCCTTATTTAAGTTCTCTAGATTCCTGCTATGAGTGAGACCATCCGGTATTTTTCTTTTTCTTTCTGGCTTATTTCGCTGAGCATGATCCCTTCCAGCGCCATCCATGTTGCAGCAAATTGCATGTGTTTATCTTTTTTGAATGCTGAGTAATATTCCATGGTGTATATGGACCACATCTTCTTGATCCAGTTGTCTATTTTTGGGCATTTGGGTTGTTTCCAGAGCTTAGCTATTGTAAACAGTGCTGCTATAAACATAGGGGTGCAGGTGCTCTTTGGAATTGATGTTTCTGTGTCCTTTGGGTAAATACCTAGGAGTGGAATTGCTGGATCATATGGGAGCTCTATGTTTAGTAGGTCCAGAAATCTCCACACAGCTCTCCATAGTGGTTGGACCAGTTTGCACTCCGACCAGCAGCGCAGGAGAGTTCCTTTTTCTCCACACCCTCGCCAACATTTGTTGTTGCTAGTTTTTTTAATATGTGCCATTCTCACTGGTGTAAGATGGTATCTCATGGTAGTTTTGATTTGCATTTCCCTGATTACAAGTGATGTTGAACATTTTTTCATATGCCTGTTGGCCATTTGCATTTCCTCTTCAGAGAAGTTTCTTTTTAGCTCTTCTGCCCATTTTTTGACTGGATTATTTTCTTTGTTGTTGTTGAGTCTCATCAGCTCTTTGCAGATTTTTGTGATCAGTCCTTTATCATTAGTGTTGGGTGCAAAAATGTTCTCCCAGTTGGTGGGGTTTCTCTTTGTTTTTGTTATTGTCTCTTTTGCTGTGCAGAAGCTCTTTAATTTGATGTAGTCCCAGCTGTTTATCTTTGCCTTCACTATCACTGCTTTGGGTGATGTGTCTGTAAAGATGTCTTTGATGTGCATATCACGTAGTGTTTCGCCTATATTTCCTTCTATGTATTTTATGGTTTCAGGTCTTATGTCTAGTTCTTTAATCCATTTTGAGTTGATTTTTGTGTATGGTGTGAGGTAGTGGTTAAGCTTCATTCTTTTGCATGTAGCGACCCAGTTTTCCCAGCACCATTTTCAATACTGTATCTTTTTTTATGAATGCATTCATACACAGTAAAATTACAAAGACGTATGTAAGAATAAAAAACACTAAATTCACAACAGTGTTTACAGGAGAGGGAAGAGATGATTGGGGACAGGGCTAGAGGGGCCTACACTTTCACTGATAATGTCTTATTTCTTGAACTGAATAAACATTAGTTATACAATGGACTAAAATATGTTTCCCCTTATGCCTAAAGTATTTAATTTACAAATTACAATAAAGTGAAATATTTCAAAAACATATTTATTAACAATTTCTACAATTTCTAAAAATTAGAAAGAAAAAAAAAAGAGCACCACTGCAGAAGTAGTCAAGAAAAATAACTTTGAAATGGTCTAAATGTAACAAAAAAACTTTCTTCTGGGCTGCTACTGTACTGTGTATCTGAAATGCTTCTGGGATGCTCTGTACTGTATACCTGAAAAACAAAATTGTATGTTATTTTATCTTTGCTTAATATTAGTGTTCAAATACAGTTACTAAATTAGTTGCTATATTTATATGAATTGATAAACGTAAACCAACTATCAGCTGGTTACCCAAGTACTTAAATAACTGTTCTTAGGACACTGGCTACTTGATATATAGCACTTTACAGTTGCTCTCTGCAGTCCATCTGTGTTTAAATTATCTGCACTTTTAGTGATAGTGAAGGCAAAGATAAACAGCTGGGACTACATCAAATTAAAGAGCTTCTGCACAGCAAGAGACAGTAACCAAAACAAAGAGACACCCCACCTACTGGGAGAAAATTTTTGCACACAACACTAATGGTAAAGAACTGATCACAGGGCCTCCCGGTGGCGCAGAGGTTGAGCGCTGGGTTGTGAAGCTGCCCGCAGCCTCTGCAGCACCGGTTCAATCCCCGGCTGCTCCCTGGCCACCGGAGGAGGGTCCCACATGGCGTGCAGACCTCTCCTGCCACCCGCTGCTCCCCTCAGCAGTGTACTTCAGTCCTTCTGCCTGCTCTGCTCCCTGCTCTGGCTCTGGTGAATTCTCTCACCCTCCCGAGCTTCTGACTGTACCAGTACTTGTATAAACAAACAAACAAATAAATAAAAAATTAAAAAAAAAAGAACTGATCACAATAATCTACAAAGAGCTGATGAGACTCAACAAAAACAAAGTAAATAGTCAAAAAATGGGCAGAAGAGCTAAGAAGAAACTTCTCCAAAGAGGAAATGCAAATGGCCAATAGGCATATGAAAAAATGTTCAACATCACTTGTAATCAGGGAAATGCAAATCAAAACTGCAATAAGATACTATCTTACACCAGTGAGAATGGCACATATTAAAAAAACTAGCAACAACAAATGTTGGCAAGGATATGGAGAAAAAGGAACTCTCCTGCACTGCTGGTGGGAGTGCAAACTGGTCCAACCACTATGGAGAGCTGTGTGGAGATTCCTCAACCAGCTAAAGATGGAGCTTCCATATGACCCAGCAATTCCACTCCTAGGTATTTACCCAAAGGACACAGAAACATTAATTCAAAAGGGCACCTGCACCCTTATGTTTATAGCAGCACTATTTACAATAGCTAAGCTATGGAAACAACCCAAATGCCCAAAAATAGATGACTGGATCAAGAAGATGTGGTACATATACACAATGGAATATTACTCAGCAATCACAAAAGATAAACACATGCAATTTGTAGCAACATGGATGGAGCTGGAAGGGATCATGCTCAGCGAAATAAGCCAGAAAGAAAAAGAAAAATACCAGATGGTCTCACTCATAGCAGGAATTTATAAAACCTAAGTGAGGGACCAGAAAAAAAGACTAATTATAAGGTAAAAATCAAAATCAACAAGCAACTATAAACCAGACATACTATTGGGGCGGGGGGGGGGAAGAGTAGGATCAAAATAAGGGCGGGTGGGAATTGTATGGGGACTATAACCAAGATGAAAATGCATACACTGTGCAAAAATGATGTAAAAATACGTAAAATTTAAAAAATAATAGTTAAAGTAAATTATCTGCACTTTTGCTTATTCCCATACTTGTTTGGTACTATGATATAATAGCTATTCTAAATATTCTTAAATCTATGGGACCACTTTGATACTGGGGAAGAAGCTAGAAGAGATATTTCTGTTGAATTTTGTTGTGATTCCTTTGAGAAATAAAGAAAAGTCCAAAGGTGCTTGTGGGCAATTAGCATTAATCTCTGCTATGTTAATCACATGCCTGTATGCTGACTACAGAGTGAAAGTCATGATACTTACATTATTCATCTTGGTCTGCAAGCCCCATTTCTACTAGTGACATATGAACTGGATATTGATCATCTTCATATAAAGTCACTATTTGTTCTGGTGCCTGAGCCTAAAATGAAAAGAAAATTGTCAAAATAAAAATGTTTTGCTGCCTTTTCTTCCTCCATATGACTGACATCACACAGGAGGGAAAACATACTAAATTTATTCATAATTTATGCTCTGCACCTTCAAAGGTATTTGTGATGGGTTTCACACTGCTAAATCCCATTCTGTCCATTCTTCTACTTTATTTAAATTGTAACTCCTCCCCAAAGTTTTCCTAAATGGAACCAATGGTATCAAACTATCATCCCTGTTAAAATTCACTTAATATAAAACATTGTATATTTATGCATAAGCTGAATAAAATTTGAATGTTACTGATAAAGGTGAATAAAACATACTTGCCCTGTATTTTCACTGGCTTCTAAAAAACCTTGCAAAGCTATTTATACTACTATGCATAGGGATATGAGATGTACAGAGGTTTTCAAAAAGTACTTTCTACTAATAGCATTGTTTCATTAAGAACTCACTTTTGTCACAGCCAGTACTACAGGAATCCCAAATCTTGGCCCCCAAATTAGAGCAGTTTGGCCTGAAACAACAATGGAGTGGACTAGGGAGAACTGAAGAATATGTTTCCTTCTACAGGGGTTAATGCTACATCGCTCCAGCTGATTGCCATTTTGGAAGGGAGATCTTGGGATTCCTATATTTTATAATTTTTTTAATCAGAAGTTAGAAATAGAAGTTACAAACTTTTTTAGGTGAAATTTTCCAATTTTAAACACAGCACTCAAATGTGGGTGCAAGCCAGATCTGCTTGTGGACTGCCCCTTTGTGACCTGCTAATAAACCTCTAAAGGAAGCAATTTTCATATTAGTACATTGATGCCTTTCTACAACTTTGATCAGAATTCCCATTCTGATCTTTCCTACTCATCTTTTAGGATGCAGCTCAAATGGCCTTCCCTGCCCTACTTATTCAAAAAGTACTTGGGTGCCTACAAAAGAGGCACTCAAAGATCATGTTCTGATCTCTGAAGATAGAAATAATCATTCTTCCTTGTACCCACTCCCCACATTACCTATACCACTTTTATAATATTTCATTCTACCCTATATTAATCAGTGGTTCATGTTTCCTTCATTGACTTATAAGCTACTCATCTTGATAATTTTTATTCCATTCATTATATCAATGATCTATTATTGTAGGGTTAGTAAAAAGTTTGTTAAATATAAACGAAGATATCATTTGAGCACGTCTTAAAATTAATCCTACAGTATTTATGGCTCTATATGCTTTAAAGCATTTTTATATCTAGAGTTGTACAGATAGCAAACATTTCAGGAAGTTAATAAGAGCCTTGAAATAACTTTAAGATTTTGGCTAATTAAGATAGACTTACTATTGTAGAAGCATAAAGTTGCTTTCCTTGAAGACAGTCTATCATAGCCCACAATGCTTCCATGCTCCATTTGGGACAATATGGTATTCTTGTCTTTCCTGAATCTCTTAATGGCGGTTTAAACCCTGCCAAGAGAACCTTTATGGCTCGGGCTGGATACTGCATAAGGTGAAGAGGAATTTGACGCAGTCTGTCACAAAAGAAAGTCTTAAAATTAAAGTGCTCAGATTGTCACAAGATTCTTAAATACCTAAAACTAAAACACAGAAAAAATATGTACATATTTTTTTAACTCTGCAAGGTCAATGGGGAGAACTTATAACATTGGATTTAGCAATAACTTTTGGGATATGATACCAAAAACACAGGCAACAACAAAAATCATATTTTGGGTTATGTCAAAAATTTTAAATGTGCAAAGGGTATAATCAGCAGAGTGAAGTGGCAACCTATGGAGTGAGAGAATATATTTATTTATAATCAGCTCTTTCTCCAAAGAAGATCTATAAGTGGCCAATAAACACATGAAAAGGTGCTTCATACCACTAATTAGGGAAATGCAAAATGAAGAGTTCTGGAGCTAGCACTTCATGTCCATTACTGTCTCCCTCTCACTTGTAGCATATGTGTGCATGCATGTGTATGCTTGCTCACTCGCTTTCACACACAGACACAAACAAACCCCAAAAATAACATGCTAGATTATATAGAGAAATTAGAACTCTTGGACACTTGGTGAGAATGGAAATGGTATAGCCCTGTGGAACAGTTTGGCGGTTCCTCCAAATAGTATAATTAGAATAAATGAGCATATGATCCAGCAATTTCACTTCTAAATCTATACCCAAGTGTTGAAATTGTCTTGAGGACAGATTTGTACACCCATGTTTATAACAGCATTTTCACAATAGCCAAAAGTTGGTATCAAAGTGGATGAAAGAATAAAAAGTTGTATGTACAATGATGGAATATTATTCAGCCTTAAAAAGGGAGAAAATACTGATACATTCTACAACATGGATGAAACTTGAAGACATTATGCTAATTGAAATAATCCAGTCACTAAAGCTAAATAGTTTATGATTCCATTTATATGTAATATCCACAATTATCTAATTTATAGAGATAGAAAGCAGAATGGTGGCAGGTCAGGGGATGATGGAGGGTTGTAGTAGTGTATAGTGGGTACAGTTTCAGTTTTGCAAAATGAAGAGTTCTGGAGATTGGCTGCACAATAATGTGAATGTCCAATAATATGAATTAAACACTACTGAAACATACATTTAAAAATAGTTAAAATGGTATATTTTATGATATGTGTATTTTTGCCACAAAGAAAATGTAACACACAAAATCCCAAAATAACAAGTGTCAAGGATGTGGAGAAATTGGAACCCTTGTGAATTATTGGTGAGAATGTAAAATAGTTGTTGCTGTAAAAAAGTTTGGCAGTTCCTCAAGACTCTAAGCCTAGAATTACCATATGGTGCAGTAATTCTGTTATATAACCAAAACAATGGAAAGGGATTCAAACAGGTATTTGTATATCAGTGTTTACTGTAGCTTTAATTATAATAAAAGATGGAAACAACCCAAATGTCCATGGAATGGATAAACAAAATGTTTATGGCAAAATTATCATTTAGCCATAAAAACGATGATTCTGGTACATAATGCAATTGAACAAACATCACTGGTAACATTAATGATAACAGTATTCTAAGTAAAATAAAGCCAGACAAAAAAGGATATTGCAAGATTACTTGTAAGAAGTACCTCAAACAGCAAATCATAGAGGTAAAGTAGAATTGACGGACTAGGAACTGGAGGAAAGGGAATGGAATGTTACTGTTTAATAGGTACAAAATTTCTGTTTGGGATTATGAAAATGTGCTGAATATGAACAGTGGTGATGGCTACATTAAAGTGAATATATTTAGTCCCAAGTAATGAAATACTTAAAAATGACTAAAACCCGTAAGTTCTGTGAATGTATATTTTACCAAATTAAAAGAAAAATTCCTAATATGTAAAGAGCTTTAAAAATAGCCTTTCCTCTTTTAAAAGAAGCAGAATACCAATAATTATATTAAAAATTAAAACTAAGAATCCCAATTCAACTAAGTTAACTTAAAAAAGGAAACCACCACCTGTTTATTGTCAGCTTTTCAGTTGATCCGTAATCAACAAATTGTACCAGGACAGCTAGAGGATTAAATTCTTTAATGGAAACAATCTTTGCTCTATACCACAGGCCGTCATCATATTCTGCAAGGCAAGGCATTTCTGGAAAGAAAAAAGGGGGGAAAATCACATTGCCTTTCATTTTCTTAAAATGTTTTTAATCAGAAAAGTACAAAGACAATGTAGCAACCATAAGCCCATCAACTGGAATTAAACAACAAATGGCGATAGGTTGACTTCTGCTCTGTTCTCCTGTTCCTACTTTATAAATGTTGCTTTAACTAATTCCTAAGAGCTAAGCTTTGAAGAGAGACACGTCGCCCTTCTCAGTTCCTAATCAGCTGGCCATAGCTTGCTTAGACCACCCTTCCACTGTCCCAACCTCTTAAACTCTCCACATCTGCTTTCATTTGGGCCATCATCTTCTGGAAAGGATATTAGTCTAGTGCCTATTTCTGCTATTAATTTCATTTCACTCCATCAATTATCATACTGTACAGATTGTATGACTTCCCTTAAGAATGCAATGAGGCAGGAATTATTCCTTCCATAATATAAATCTGAATTTATTTAAAAAAAAGTCCCAAAAAGAGCTTATTCTTCTGTTCATTCAATAAGTATTTATGACCACCCATTTGTGCAAGGAGGCTTTCTCACTACTAGTGACACAACAGGACAAAGTCTCTGCTTCACAGTGCAATATACAACAGGAAGTGGAGGGATGGAGAGTAATGGGGGTTAGTGGGTAGAAGGCTTCTTGATAGGGTCAGGAAAAACTATAGTTGGGTACAGACCTAGGCTGCTACACAGTCTGGTTGGAGAACATTCCAGGTAGAGGTAAGAGCAAGTGCTGCGTATCAGGCAAACAGGGGCCACAGCTAATTAAAATCTCATTGAGGAAAATCTGGTAAGCTGTTTTCCTTATCCTGATTTGTACAAAATCCAAAATAGATACCTCTCTTATATCACATATTGATAAAAATGTATAGATGCCACTCTTGGTACTGTGGAATTGTCAATACCAGTAACCAAATGTATTTTTCTCATAGGAGCTTTACATATATTTAATAAGGAGAATGGATTAGGAAAAAAAATGATAGCATAATTTGACCTACCTGACAGGTGGGACACAATCGACCTCCTTGGCCCCATTCCAAAATTATTAGTTTAGGTGGCTTGTAATTAAAATTACTGTCATTTAGAATAACTCCATAATTTTATCTAATGGTAAAACTTCAAGCTTAGAAAACTCATCTTTCTGTAGTCAATTTTCTAATGTAGGTGAAAGTGTCCAAAGGCAGTTACTTTTTCTTAGTATCTTATAAGAAAGATCTTCACAGAGTGCCTTGAGGATTCTGAGAGATCATGCATATGAAATGAGTGTTACAAAAATATCAGTTAACATGGCTTCACTTACATGTGGAATGCAGAGCAAGAAAAAAAAAATAAGGTCAGATAACAAACCTAGAAATTTGTAGAATTGACGCTATCAAAAAGGGAAGGGAAGTGGGAGATCAAAGTGTGGAGGGTTCCCAATGGACTAAAGTGGAAGACTGGGTGCCTTGGTGGGTGTGAGATGGTAACATACCTCTGAATGACATACAATATTATAAACCAATGTTGCCTCAATAAAAACAACAATTCTAGAAATCTCACTGTAGAATTGAAGCTACCAGAGAAGGGTAGAGAACAAAGTGTGGAGGGAGATCAATGGACTGGGTGGAGGACTATGGGTGCCCTGGTGGTGGATGTGGTGTCATGACATACATTGGGAAGAGGTGTGATCCTATACCTCTGAATCATATACAGTAAAGCAGTGTTACATCAATTTAAAAAAAAAGTTCAAAGGAAAAAATATGTCAGTTAACACTAGAAAGAACGTAATTTCATTAGCCCATTAAAACAACAAATTATTAAGAAAATGTTTTCAATCAGAAAATGTAGTATACCTGTCCTGAAATCTGTCAGAGGAGGAAATGTCTCCACGTTCTTATTAAACATCCGCAAGGCTTCATCAAGGCTCTCAAACTCGGATTCCCAACTGACTCCACTGTCATCTGTGTCACTATGTTGGCTAAACAGATTACAGTTTTCTACAGAATCAAGGCAAATATACACCTGGAGGCAGAGGGAAGAGAAGGAAAAGAGTTTCAAATTTCTAACTTTTAGTATCTTATAGACAAAAATAATGGGGCAGCCTCCAATGATGGCCCTGGTGATGCCTTGTAGAATGGCTCTCCCACATCACACCAGATGTGACCTCTGTGACAAAAGAACACAACAGAATCGTGTGACTGCTGAGGCCAGATTATAAGAGACCTGTTATTCTGTCTGGATGGTTCTCGATGATGGTGCTCTAAGGGAAGCAAATAGCCATGTGGTGAGCAGACCTTTGGAAAGGCCCACAGGGAAGAACCTGAGCCTCCCTCTGTGGTTGCACCCTCAACATCTTGATTGCAATCTTAGGACAGCTCTTTAAGCAGCCCTCAGATTCTTTTCATGTGTGTTGTTTTAAGTAGCTAAATTTATCTAAGACAGGCACCAAAAAAATCATTACAAAAACCAGTAATAGTTGTACCTTACTATTTTCCCTGATGAATATACAGAGCAAATTTTGCCCTTGCCTGTAAAGAATGATTTACTGTGTAAAATGGCCTTTGCTACTAAATTTATCACTTCTCCCTTTCTTGTTAGCCAAGAATTTTTTAGTGCCTTATTCATTTAATCAATATTTTTTGAGTAGCTACTACATATCAGGCACTCTTTTATTCTGGGGGTACAGCCATCAGTGACCAAAACATAAAAATCTGTTTTCATGGAGTCATTATTTTAGTGGGGAGCAGCAGACAAAATGAAAGTGGCACAGTTTATTAGAAGGCGTTAAGTGGAATTGGAAAACAGAGAGTTGGTAAAAGAGCACCTAGAATTGAATGCATGAAGACCATAGGGGAAATGTTGAGGATTTCATAGATGGGAATAGAATAACTAAAGTCACACACTGGGAACCCAACAAGTAGTTAAGCAACACTTGCCTTTTAAATATGAACAAACTTTTGAAGAGAATATGGGGTGTGCAAAATAAAGGTCACCCATTTTTAGTTATTTAAAATCAGAATTTAAGACCAATATTGCTTGTTATATTTTTAACCACCAAGTAATTAGATTACATACTTCATTAGGTGATACAACATGCTTAACTTGAACAGCATAAAGTTCTTCTGGGGGAGGCAGAGATGAAGACAAATATGGTGGTAAAATAGGAGTCTCTGTTTCAGACAAAAGCAATTCCTATAAGACATTCAATAAACAAATTCAAATTTCAGAATGACTATTACAAAAATATACTATATTATTCAAATTAATTACAATGCCAATATACTTTCAATTAGCAGAAAGCAAGTTCTCTTAGATACTGAAAACCAAAAAATGTTTTTTGTTGTATTTGGGACCAATGTGATGAGTTAACAAAAGATCTTTATAGTATGCTTTTTTCCCCTCCCCATTAAAGATTTTCTGAAAACAAAGCCAATCCACGTAAATGTTTATTTTTGTATACATATTTAAATATACATAACATTCAAGAAGAGCTGGTTACAAATATTGTAATAAACTTGCCATTGCTGAGTGGGACTGGACTGTTTGAGCTTCAGAATGCCTTTCACATTTCTGTATTATTTTATTATTTTTAGATTAAGTACTTAGTTGATAATACAAACAAAAAATAATTGAAATCCCAAGATTTAAGTGTGTCAAAATTATCAAAAAAGTATATGCTTTCTATAAAAGCATAAGGATAATAAGAAATTGACTCTCAAGAAGATCATGGCAGTTAGCCATAGTTAAAAGGAAATATACATAAAAATGTGGGTGCATGATTTTCTTTAAGTTTTTTATAATTCTTCAATACAGTAACATAAAGAGTAAAGTCATAAATTAAAATTTATAGATTACTATTTAACATCCCCAAATGGTAGCAGACCAAAACAAAATATATCTGAAACACTAAAGCATGTAGCAAAAAGTGACTATGCACTGTTGCATTTTACTGCTTTGTTCCAAGACACTTGACAAAAGCATGCACTATTTTTATAGTCATATGAAATTCTACTTAAAATGATATAACTCTTACTAATTAAAACCTTTACTTTCTGCACAAAAAAAAGCACAAGTGGCAAAAGACAAAACAGATGAAGTAGACTTCATCAAAACTAAAATATTTAGTGCTTTAGGATAGCATCAAGAAAATAAAAAGCCTACTCACAGAATGGGAGAAAATATTTGAAAATCATTTCTCTGATATGGGACTTGCATAAAAAACTTACCATTCAACAACAGAAGCACAACCCAAATAAAAATGGGTAAAGGGCACATTTTTTACTCCTTTTTATGTTTTTCAGTTTTATTGATATATAATGGACACTTAACATTGTGTACAACACAATGATGTGATATACGTGTATGTACATGTATATAACCACATATATATAACCACAGTAAGTTTAATCATTCACCTCACATAGTTACAAAAACTTTATTTTTTTAATATTTTATATAATTCCTACATCATTTTTCATTTTTGCACAATGTATGCATTTTCAATTTGGTTATATTCCCCATACAATTGTACCCCCCCTTATTTTGACCCTAATCCTTCTTCTCCCCGGTCCTCCCCACCACCCATAGTGTGTCTCTGGTTTATAGTTGCTTGTTGATTTTGATTTTCACTTTGTATTAGTCTTTTTCCTGCTCCTTTATTTAGGTTTTCAAAATTCCTGCTATGAGTGAGACCATACAGTATTTTTCTTTTTCTTTCTGGCTTATTTCACTGAGCATGATCCCTTCTAGCTCCATCCATGTTGCTGCAAACTGCATGTGTTTATCTTTTTTGATTGCTGAATAATATTCCATGGTGTATATGTACCACATCTTCTTGATGCAGTCATCTATTTTGGGGCATCTGGGTTGTTTCCATAGCTTAGCTATTGTAAATAGTGCTGCTATAAACATAAGGGTGCAGGTGCCCTTTTGAATTATTTTGTCTGTGTCATTTTGGTAAATACCTAGGAGTGGAATGGCTGGATCATATGGAAGCTCTATCTTTAGTAGGTCAAGAAATCTCCACAGGGCCCTCCATAGTGGTTGGACCAGTTTGTACTTCCACCAGCAGTGCAGGAGAGTTCCTTTTTCTCCACATCCTCACCAACATTTGTTGTTGCTAGTTTTTTTAATATGTGCCATTCTCACTGGTGTAAGATAATATCTCATAGTAGTTTTGGTTTGCATTTCCCTGATTACAAGTGATGTTGAACCTTTTTTCATACGCCTGTTGGCCATTTGCATTTCCTCTTTGGAAAAGTTTCTTTTTAGTTCTTCTGCCCATTTTTTGACTGATTATTTACTTTGTTTTTGTTGTGTCTCATCAGCTCTTTGTAGATTTTTGTGATCAGTCCTTTTTCACTAGTGTTGTGTGCAAAAATGTTCTCCCAGTCGGTGGGTTTCTCTTTGTTATGGTTATATTATCTTTTGCTGGGCAAAAGCTCTTTAATTTGATGTAGTCCCAGCTGTTTATCTTTGCCTTCACTATCACTGCTTTGGGTGATGTGTCTCTAAAGATGTTTTTGAGGTGCATATCATGTAGTGTTTCGCCTATATTTCCTTCTATATATTTTATGGTTTCAGGTCTTATGTTTAGTTCTTTAATCCATTTTGAGTTGGTTTTTGTGCATGGTGTGAGGTAGTGGTCAAGCTTCATTCTTTTGCATGTAGCGACCCAGTTTTCCCAGCACCATTTATTGAACAAACTTTCTTTGCTCCAATGCATATTCTATGCTCCTTTGTCAAATATTAGTTGACCATAAATCTGTGGGTTTATTTCTGGTTTTTCTATTCAGTTCTACTGGTCAGTGTGTCTGTTCTATTTCTTTTGATGAGAACTTTTTACTTACTTGATGACCACAGATAACATCTTTTCACTTCTTCTGCCCATTTTTAAATGGAATAGTTTTTCTACTAAGATATATGAGTTCTTTATATATTTTGGATATTAATCCCTTATCAGATACATATTTGCAAATATTTTCTCCCATTCAGTGGGTTACTTTTCATTTTGTTGATGGTCTTCGCTGTATAGAAGTTTTTTAATGTAGTCCCACTTGTTTAATTTTCTTTGTTCTTGATGTCAAATCCTGGGCAGAGGATTTGAACAGAGATTTCTCCAAAGAAAATATACAAATAGCCAAAGAACACATGCAAAAATGCTCACCATCATCAGTTGTTAGGAAAATGCATATCAAGACCACAATGATCTAACTATCATTTTCTACTTGTCTTAGGATAGCTAGGAAAAGAGTCAGATAACAAGTGTGTTGGTAAGGATATGGTGAAAATTGGACACCTATACATTGCCTTTGGAAAACAGCTAAGTAGTTCCTTAATATGGTAAACAGGGTCACATTATGATTCTGTAATTCCATTCCTAGGTCTATCCCCAAGAGAAGTGAAAACTGTTGTCCACATACAAACCTGTACATGGATGTTTACACTGGCTTTATTCACAAATGCAAAAAAAAAAACCCACAAAACAATTCATTTCCATCAACAGATGAATGATAAACAAAATGTGGTATTAACTACATAATGGAGTATTATTCAGCAATAAAAAGGACACACACTACAATACTAATACACCTTGAAAACACGCTTAGTGAAAGCAGTCAATCATAATGGGCTATGTATTGTATGACTCCTTTTATATGAAATGTCCAATAGGAAAGTCCATGGAGACAGAAGATTTGTGCTTTCTAGGAAACTAGGGAAAGAGAGATTGGGAAGTGGCTATTGTTGGTATGTGGCTTCTTTTTTGGGGTTAATATATTTAAAAAAATCACTGAATAGCACATTTTAAAAATGATGGGTTTTATGATATGGAAATTGTGTCTCAATAAAGCTATTAGGAAAAAAATCTTACTTCCTGATCTTGTATCAGATCCTTTGTATTATGAAGTATCCAAGGTTTCTTAATTATCTGACATTACTTACCTCAAACCTTATTTCCCATCTTTCTTCCTCATACTTTTTATTGTAATTTGTTGGTTTCTGAAATAATATAGTATTATTAATGAATAAAATCATTTTAACTATATAATATTGTTATAAAGTGCTTTCATATTTCACCCTCACAAAAATGAAGTGTATGTTCTTGTTGGCATTCCTTCAGTTACTAAGTTAGGTTAATTAAGGAAAAATCTAACATTCTGAGTAATTTTAGCATTGCAAACAATAAGAGTACTCAAAATTATGTCAAACACTTCAGTGGTAATTGATTTATCATAAGGGAGTGGGGACTCTTTCCTTTTCTCTCTAAATGTTCACATTGACTAGCTCAAGGGGAAGAAAGGGACTAATCTTTATAAATAGCCAGTTTAACAGATGGAACATCTTTTACTGGCATTCTGGCACACACCTCTCTGCTCAAAAGAAAAAGCTGGCCATGAGGATTACATGTATGAAGTAGCATATATTTATATTTACATTTGAGAAAAGAGAGTAGTTTTCTATATTGAACACTCAGCATCTGCTACTTAAATGAATATTCAAAAACCTAGTGAACTGTAAGTCGAGACATAAAGATACATTGCTATAGAGAATGATGTCCTATTTCTACAAAGTATGGCATCTTGCAATGTAATACCATAACTATCATAGGCTAATTATATTTTTTAAAAATATTAAAGACAGAAGCACCAGGTCAACTGGGATGGGCTGTTTGTTGAAGCTAAGCTTGAAATCTGGGTCTAAGTTCCCCGTAAAAAACAAAATAGGAGTAATGTTATGTCATATAAAAGGGGAAAACATTTTATCTGGGGAAAGAGTCTGGTAATCTATAAAGGTTTTACATCTGTATAGTCAAACGACACTGTCTAAACATGGGTTTTTTAGGTATGAAGGTAAAGAAACATTAATTGAATCTTAGTACATTTAAACTTTTACTTAGGGCACTTATAAAGCATGATCTAGGGCCTCTCTGGTGGCACAAGGGGTTGAGATGCAACCTATGAAGCTGTCCACAGCCTCTGCAGCATGAGTTCAATCCCCAGCTGGCCAGGGAACTACCCACATGGCGTAGCAGACCTCTCCTGTCTCGCCTGCTGCCCCCCTCAGTAGTGTACTTCGGTCAATCTGCCTGTTCTGTTCCCCACTCTGTCTCTGGTGAATTTTCTCACCCCCCACACCTCTGGCCTGAACCCCAGCTCTTGTATGCATAAATAATAAATCTTTTTAAAAAAGCATGATCTAGTGTACTGCTTTAGTAATAAATACTTTATGAGTTTTCCAGATTCTCAATATGTCATACTTGAAGGACCACATCTACAACTTGGTGTAAGACAAAAGTGCTATTTTAACCCAAATTAATTTTTCTATATTTATAGAATAATAATTCACTTACTTCTTTCAAAATTTCCTCAGAATGTTCAACAGTACAATATTTATGATGGACCATAAAGTAAGAAAGTGACATTCCATCAAAATAGAGATGAACAGATAATTTCCCCCATGGATTTTCAGGTAATTCCTATTTAAGTTTAATAAAGAAGGTTATCATTATAAAAACACAAAGTGTATATATAGAATAAAATTTTATAGTCAGCAAATACTAAATGAGATTTTTGACAATCATAGTATTACCAAACATTTTGTTTAGCAACTCATACATAAAAATTTCTTCTGGTATTCTGGCAGGTTATGAGGCAGCAATTCAGGAACTGTGTTTGTGTAAATATATTTACATGTCTGTATGGTACAGAACTTTTTAGGTATTTAACAGAAAATAATTTACTGTACACAACTGAGTATAAGTCATCTGTAGGCGATACTCATAATTTATACTAAGTAGAAGGGGAATGAAAATATGTTTAGGGTAAAGAAATACCATTTAAAAACAATCCCCAAATGGAAGGAACTATAAGAAATTTGTAATAGTCTAGAAAGAGGTCTTTATAATGGCTTTAAGTCTACAATTATTTGGTACTGAACATGTACATAATTGATAAACTCATCCGTTCTCATCAATTCCAGTTGGTATCACCTTTGTCCAAACTTTTGTTTCTACTGACACTGTATCTGCCTTTCAGATCTCCCTGCTTCTATCTTTATCTACTATCCAGTCTCATCAGTGCAGCAAAGTGAAAACCCTAGAATGTAAGGTCGGCAGATCAATCCCTTGAATGGCTTCCCAAGTCAGTTGGACAGCCATTAGCACTCACAAGTCACCTCCCATCTCCGACTCCTCTTAGTCTTGCTCCCTTTGCTTCCACCACTGCAATTTCTCTGCCATTCCTTAAACACTCCAAACATGCTCCTATTGTGGCATTCTTTATAGCTGCATGCATTATTCTCTCACTATTTTAAAATCTTCACTCAAATCTCATCTCTGCAGTGATGTCTTACTTGAGCACTAGATTTAAAATGTTACCTCCTTCTCTGCCCTACCCTTCCCTATTAGTCTTTGCAGTTTTATTTTTCTTCCTAGCACTTATCAATATTTAATATACCTTATATATTTATTATTATGTTTTCCACTATTAACATGGAAGTTCCATAAAGTCAGGCATTTTTGATTATTCAATTCATGGCCCCCAGGCCTGAAACAGAGCGCAACACACAAGAGATCAGTGTTTTTGTCATTGTAAATGGAGAAGCAATTTGGGGGAGGTTTTCTGTGGTAGCAAGGGTTGCAGGGTACACACATTCATGGTTTCTAAGAAATTGAGCAGCCTTTGGTGCATGCACTACAAACTGTTTTCTATGTTAAACTAAGCAGCACAGAAAGTTGCCTTGATAAGCTAAATGATTTCAAGCTCTATCTTATGTGGTTATCCACAGAGTTGATAAGTAAACAGAGTGGTGTCCTGGTAACATGATAGCTTCTCCAATTAATATTGAATAGGTGAGTCTTGGTTCTTTTTAGATCTTTATCACCCTATCATCACACTTTTCATATAGAAATACTTTATAGGTTTTTTATCTTTCCATTTAAATCCTTAAATATATCTGTGGATAGTCTTATTACCTTATTACCGTAGTATTCTGAAGCCTGCAGTAGCTAGCTGTCCTCCACCTCTCCTAAATTCTCCCCACAAAAACTATTATTCTAGCTAAACAGTTGTATTATTTCCTGAAGATATGCCAAGTCTGTTTCTATCTCTCTCCCTGCCTATGTGTTTGGTCAGGAGAATTTTACCATCTTTTCTTTAAAGGCCTCCTCAATTTTCATCTCTATTACACTTATTCTTTTTATTGTTATTTGACTGTCAGTATGTTACTTTGCAGTGAGAATTTTTTAGTTTTACATCTTGTGTCCAGCTGTTTTACTAGCTAGATAATGTCTCTGAGGAAAGAGATCACTTCCACTGAGAATGTCACATACACAGAACTATTCTGAAAATGACCTCATGAATTTATAAACATCTCAGAGTCTTTGACACTGTTCCCTTATATCAAATATATAATTTTCAAGTTAATGACCTTAATACTTATGAAAATACTTAGAAACTTGTTCAAAACTAGGTTTTTTGAAGCAAGCTTAGGAACTAAAGCAGTAACTTCTTATGTGAATAATTAATTTATAGTCACAAGCACACTGCTTATCATAAAACTATTATTCAAATTCTGTTGCCTATAATATTGTATGCAAAGTAATTACCATAATGTGAATTTCCACCTCTCTTTTTGAAAGCAGTTCTTGCAGGAGTTCTACTGCATCTGGTTGCCAGACATTTCCAACCTATTTAGGAATAATAAACTCAGATTCTTTCACTCCTTCACAAAATAAGAACAGGAAGCAAATGAAGATTCACAAAAGTAGGTATAAACAACACTAGACAGTAGCACAAAATATACTAAATATATGAGAACGTCATTGGTATATGATAAAAATAATCATAAACTGTAATTTGTCTGCGTTTCGCCCATTCCAGTATTCTTTTAAAGCATTCCATGCTTTAAAAATATAAACCTCCATTAAAAAACATTGCAAACATTTTTTAAAGATGAAACTAATACAGTGATTGTATAATGACTATGATATATATTAATGTAAGGTCAGCAGTAATTGTTATGCTTTCATATATAAGAGGTTCCCATGTAAGGAACTGTGGCTTCCTGTCAACAGTCAGTAAGGAGACTGCTTTCTGCCAGTATTGTTTTAGTGAATCACACAGAGTAGATGCTCTGCCAGTCAATCCTTCCAGTGACTGCACTTCTGCTTCTAGACTGCAATATCATGAAAGACTGTGGCCCATGCCACCCATCAAGGATACTCCCAATCTTTGAGCTAAAGAAACTGTATGAGGGCCTCCCTGGTGGCACAGGCAGTTGAGCACCGCACTGTGAAGCTGTCTGCATCCTCTGCAGTGCGGGTTCAATCCCGGCCGGCCGGTGAGAATCCCACATGGTGAAGTAGATCTCTCCTGACTCGCCTGCTGCTCCCCTCAGCAGTGTATTTTGTCAGTCTGCCTGTTCTGTTCCCTGCTCTGTCTTTGGTGAATCCTCTCACCCTCCTGCACATGTGGCCTGTACCCTGGTTCTTGCATAAAAATAAATAAATCTTTAAAAAACAAAAACACAGGGCCTCCCCGGTGGCGCAGCGGTTGAGCACTGGGTTGCGAAGCTGCCCGCACTGGGTTGCGAACCTGCCCGCAACCTCTGCAGTGCCGGTTTGATTCCCGGCTGCTCCCCGGCCACTGGAGGAGGGTCCCACATGGCGCGCAGACCTCTCCTGCCGCCCGCTGCTCCCCTCAGCAGTGTACTTCGGTCCTTCTGCCTGCTCTGCTCCCCGCTCTGGTGAATTCTCTCGCCCTCCCGGGCTTCTGACTGTACCCAGTGCTTGTATAAATAAATAAATAAACAAATAAATAAATAAATAAATAAATCTTTAAAAAAAAAAACAAAAACACAAAAAAGATGGCAGAATTCTTTAAAAAAAAAAAGAAACTATATGAGGTAAAAGAAAGTTTGTTAGTGATGGAGACCACTGAATTTTAGCTTAATCTATATACAGCAAGAGATAATTAACATACCACTCTTTTATCAGATTTCCAGATTCAAATTTGTTGAAATTTTGATGAAATAACTACAATTTTACAATCACACCTTTTCATCTATGAGGATATTATTTTTCTTCATTTAGATGCTTTAGATCTACAGTTTTCCTCATAAAAGCCTTTTAATTATCTTACTAAACTTATTTCTAGGTGCCCTTTTTTCTTGCAAATGAAAGGGACTTCATTTCACATTCTACCATTCCACAAGTTACTGTTTACTCACAGGTACAGTATTATAGAGCTGACAAGGTATACAAAACTGGGGTGTATCAGGGTAAAGCAAAATAGGGTAAAGATGACATTGTGGAATCTTCTCAGTGAATCCATGATCTAAATACTGTACCTGAAAAAAGACCAATGAAATCCATAATTAAAATTTATTATTAAAAACTAGGGGACAGAAGGGGCTCTATTGTTAATATATTTTTTAAAAAAGGCATCCTAGAGAGATATCTAAATCTGGATTTGAAAAATCCCCAGAAACAAACAGTATTTGCATTCCCTCATCCCAAAGCTTACTGTCAAAAAGTTTATTACACATAAACCAAAGGTTTGTTTTTTTTTTTTTTTAATAAGCTGGGTCTTATTAGACTTACAAATTCCTTAAGAATAATCCACTTCTTGAAGATGATTTTTTTTAATATTGTTTTTCTAAGTATCATTATTTTTAAAAAAATCTTAAGTGCTTTTAATTAGATTAGCTGGCTAGTGATCTCCCTGAAGAAACCATCCTACCAAGTCATCTGTAGCTGGCTATTTTACAGTAAGCTGAACAAAACCAGAAATGAATTGGTTTGTCAGAATAGCCCGCCATAGTTGATGTTCCTGGTTTTGACCCAGAAGTATTTTAGAAGCACTGAGCTATATTCAATAAAGGAGCATTTCTCAAATTGTTAGTTATTCCTCAGTTTCACAGTTAAGTACATTTGAGAAACTGCATGCGATGTTTCTTTCTTGTAGAATCACTTTGTATAATGAAGGCACTGAGAAGTCCTATAAGAAAGAAACTTGTTTTTATATTACTCAATGTTCCTTAAACTTCTTTGTAAGGTAAGGTTTAAAAAAAGACTTTCGAGTAGCTTTAAGGTTCACAGCAAAATCGAGATGAAAGAACAGTGGTTTTCCACATACCTCTATAACCTCCCCACCAACTTCCACACTATTGACATCCTGCACCACCAGAGTGGAAATTTGTTATAATCAACCAAATTAAATCCATACTCCACATTAAGGTTCACTCGTGGTTGTGCACATCCTATGTTTGACATATGTATAGAGACAGTACCCACCATTATGACATCATACAGAATAGTTTCATTGCCTTAAAAATCCTCTGTGCCCTGCCTATTCAATCCTCCCTTTTCTCCAACCCTTGGAAAAAACAAATTTTTTTACTACTGCCATTATCTTTGCATATTCTAGATGTCATATAGCTGGAGTCATACCATATGCAGCCTATTCAGATTGTCCTTTCAGTTAGTAATAGCATTTATCTTCCTTCATGTCTTTTCTGGCTTGATAGCTCATTTCTTTTTAGTGCTAATAATTGCCAGGATTCATGACAGTTTATCCACTCATCTACTAAAAGACATCTTGGTTGCTTCCAACTTGACCAATTAAAGTTGCTGTTGATACATACATCCATATATAGGATTTTGTATGGGCATAAGTTTTCAACTTCTCTGGGTATGGTTTTTGAGATACTGACAAACTGGCTGTACCATTCTGCATTCCGACCAGAAAAGAATGAGGGTTCCTGCTGCTCCACATTCTCACCAGCATTTGGTGTTACCAGTGGTCCAAATTTTGGCCACACAAAATCTCATTACTGTTTTTACTTTATCCCTATGACATATGACATAGAACATCTTTTCATATGCTCTTTTGTCATCTGTATATTTTCTCTGATGATGTGTGTTAAGGTTTTTGGCTCATGCTTTTTATTGCTGAATTTTATTAAAAATTTTTAATTGAGGTTACATTGATTTACATTGTTGTTTATACTTTGGAAGTACAGGGTCCTCCTCTTTCTGGTGAGGTTTATTGTTGAATTTTAAATGTTCTTTGTATATTTTGGGTAACAATCCTTCATCAGGTGTTTCTTTGGCAAATATTTCCTATTAGTGTATGGCTCATTTTCTCATTCTTTTGACATTGTCTTTCTCAGAAAAGGAGGTTTTGGCTTATCCATTATTTCTTTTTCATAGATCATGTCTGTTGTGCTTTATCTAGTAAGTCATCAGCACAACCAAGGTCATCTGAGTTTTCTATGTCATCTTCGAGGAATTTAATAGCTTTATGTTTTACAATTGGTCTGTAATGCATTTTGAGTTAATTTTTGTCAAGGGTCTGAGGTCTGTGGTGACCTCAGAAATCTATGAGTCTCATGGTTTGAGCAGATGGAGCTAGGTACATGCCAATAATGCAGACCCTGTACTGAATAGAAATAGTGGAAGGAACAGAGCCCTAAGGATAAAGCAATATCCTCCAAAAGAGGTGGCCTTGGGCACATGAAAAAATACTCACAATCACTTATTATGGAAACTGCAAATCAAGACCACATATCATACTTGGGAGAATGCCTTGTATTGAAAAGACCAGAAACAACTCCTGCACTGCTGGTGGGAACACAAACTGGTCCAGCCCATCTGGAAAGCAGTATGGTGGTGTCTCAAAACATTAAACATGGATCTGCCATTTGACCCAGTAATTCCACTCCTAAGCATCTCTCCAAAAATTTAAAAAACACTAATTCGAGAGGGAACTTGGACTCCATGTTTACTGCAGCACTATTTATTACTGCTAAACTATGGGAACAACCTAAGTGCCTCAGAACAGATGAATGGATCAAGAGGATGTGGTATATGTACACAACAGAATACTACCTAGTGATCAAAAAAGATAATCTCATGCCATTTGTGGCAACATGGATAGAGCTTGAAAAGATAATGCTAAGTGAAATAAATTATAAGGAGAAAGATAAATACTGGATGATGTCACTAATATGTGGAATATAAAGTAACTGAAGTAATAGAAAAAAACAAGCTGAAAAACTAATCCTTGATACCTGATTACAGAACTGAGACACCAAGGGGAAGAGGAAAGAACAGGGATGGAGGGAGGCATAATGGTCTGTGGTGGTGGAGTTTGATGAGTTGGTGGTAGACACACTACGGTGGCAATACCTGGTGAGGATACCCCAATGTTATCTCAGTAATAAAATAAATAAATGATAAAAGAGGAGGCCTTGGGGTGTATTCAGCCAGTATCACAGATGTTTTTTCTACCCAGTCCCATTTGGCCATGCTGCTCCCCCTACAACATTCTGATTTTACCAGTAAAGAAACCCCACACAAATAATTATTATTCTGCTCATGACTCAAGGGACCACTAATGAGATTATTTAGGGCACACATCCAACAGTGCCACATATTTACACTCTGCTAACAGTCATGCCTGGGAATTTTCACGCGTTTTCAGGATTGGATTTGAAGGATACCTTTTTCTGAATTCCAGTGGATGCTTAGGATCAGCTATTCTTTGCTTTGGAATGGTAGGACCCAGAGTCCAATGGGATCTTGAGTTCAATAACACGCTACAGTATTGCCGGACTGAGCTTCTGCAAGGGTTTAAGAATTCCTTGACTATATTTTGGGAAATACTAGCGAGGGATCTCAGAAAGGAAGAACTAAAACAGGGATTACGCCTATAAAACGTGGATGATTTACTAGTTGCCAGCCCTGGCCATAAATCTTATCTGGAAAAGACCATATTGGTTTTGAACCACTTGGAAGAATGTGGCTACAAGGTGTCATTTCACAAGGCTCAAATAGGCAATGAAAAGGGTCACACTTGGCATTTGAGATTAAGAAAACAAAGCTTCATGACTGAGCGACAATAATTTCAGCTTTTACTTTTTTTTTTTTTTTTTTTTTTTTTTTATAGAGGCATGCTTTATTTATTTGTTTGCTGGTTTGTTTGTTTGTTTTGTTTATACATGCACTGGGTACAGTCAGAAGTGCGGGAGGGAGGGTGAGAGAATTCACCAGAGCCAGAGCGGGGAGCAGAGCAGGCAGAAGGACCGAAGTACACTGCTGAGGGGAGCAGCGGGCGGCAGGAGAGGTCTGCGCGCCATGTGGGACCCTCCTCCAGTGGCCGGGGAGCAGCCGGGGATCGAACCGGCGCCGCAGAGGCCGCGCGCAGCTTCGCAACCCAGCGCTCAACCGCTGCGCCACCGGGGAGGCCCAATTTCAGCTTTTAAAGTCCCCAGCAGTCCAAGGCAATTACATGGATTTTCAGGAAAGGCTGTTTTTTTATTCCCTGAATTTGGATTTCCAACTTTGGGCTAATAGTGAAACCCCAATAATGAAGTCCTCAAAGGTTCAGATATTGAACCTTTGTCTTGTACTCATGAGTCAATAGCCTTTGATGAAATAATGGGAAGGCCAGATCCCAGCAGCATCCTTAGGGCTGCCAGACCATAGGAAGCTTTTCTAATTCTATATGCATCAGTGACAGGGAGTAGGCCTAGAGTGTTAGAGAGATGGCCTTGTGTTTGCAGCCTGTAGCTTCCAAATGTGACTTGGTTTTGTCATTGTTAGAATGGAAGGGTGGACTCTTCTGGTTGACTGCTGGGCTCATGGGGAAATAACAAGCAGTTCTATTGGATAATCCTGATGTGCAGCTGTGAGTCACTAGCTCTTTAAATCCAGCTTCCTTATACCCAAGAGAAACTTGAGGATGGAATTTTAACACAAAAAATGTTTAGAAACTATTGAAACAGTGTATGTTGGCTGACTAGATTTGTCTGACCAGCACTGGCTAGGTCCAGAGTGGACGCTGTTTACAGATGCTAGCAGTTTTATGGAGCAGGGCTGCAAACATGCAGGATTTGCAGTGGTGGTGTTTCGGGACACCACAGTAATCAAAGTATGCTGCACTCCTGTTGGGGGCATTCATTCCTCTCATAGACTTTTCTCAAATTGTTCCCAAATACACTCACTGGGGATGAGGAAATAGTCTGTAAATGGGGATTTACTAACTTTGATACCCGCTCCTCTTGGAGAAGGGACTCACATGGAATTGTCCTCACAGAAATCCTAGTCTACCTGGTATTGAAACATCATGAGGGATCCCACTATGGCATAGATACCTTAGTGGAGTCTGTGCACCCATGTTTAAAGGGCCCCTATTTGCACCAAATAGCTCAGTGGATCACCACAAAGGCTGTCATTTATGTGTCAAGAATAAAACCAAAATTGACTTCCTAAAATTATTGGGGTTTAATATCAGGGCATATGCTCTTTTGAAGATTGGCAAGTAGATTTTACCCAAATGCCCAGC